GATCGAAAAGAGGTGTCGTTTTTTAGGTTATACATCGCACGGTCGATAAAGTCGCAGTTGAGCAGCGAGGTTAGAGTTACCAACATCTAACAATAAATACCCAAATTAAACTCAAACTCTAGACTCTAGTCATTTCGATTTAAACTCGACATCCATCGATCTATTTCACGATCAAACGTTCAACCAACGCACATTTTAATGTTTTGAGGTTAGGAACACTTTCGGAAACAGGAAATGAAAAAATATGTCGGATACCCGCTTTCAGAGAAACGTCCAATTAATTCCGCCCGATAATTGCGAGCGTATTTTCAGTTTGTCGCGACCGCAGAATATTTCGTCGGCTGGCAAAAACTCGGTGTCCCAGCCGTTCGTGAAAACCATCGGTCTTTTTTTTCGTTGCGTGCGCTCGTCGACGAAAATCGAATGCAATGGGGCTATCTTTGTCACCGGACGTCCATCGGCATCAAAGGCCGCCGCGGAAATAATTCAAGTAAATGAAAAAGGGCTGGGAGACGCGGAGCATCGAATTGTCGCGATAGAGAGCGACGAACAGAGAGACAGATAGCGGAATGGCGGTTGAAGCAGTGTTGGCCACCTTAGATTTTTAGTACTTTTACCGAAGGTAAAAGGGGTGGTGGAAAAGGGACATAATTGAATCAATAATATTTGTTATTTTCACAGCATTAGTGTTAGTTTGTGCTTAATATTTACATAAGTCATACAATGATGGGAGCAGAAAATGTTATTTGAACCCTTTGGACTGGGATGTCCCCTCTCAGGGGAGATTAGAAGTCCAGAGGACTTCGATAAGGATTAAACAAGATAAATTCTCTGGAGCACAACATTTTCAAAGCAGCACACTTCTTTGGAGGTTTCCATTCAAAGTATCACGAACAAATAAATCAAAGTAGCGTTACAATAAATTACATGCCCTTTGTGCTACATTATTTAACACAACATGGTTCCTTTTAGCACATTCTGCAGCAAAATGGCTTCCAGTGCAAAGGGTGAATAGTAGATAACAAAGTATTGGTTGCTACAGGTTCAGGGAGATCTAAGATTGCCTGGTATAATTTTTCGGATGTTCTTAATAAATTAAGAAATATCTCTAATGTATTACCGAGGTCCCACTTGCTTCCTGAATTAATTGCGACTAAAGAAAGACCGACTCGCCAAGTTTTAATATTTAGAATATTTAGGATCATTATTCTGAACAGTGGCAGCAAAAATTCCAGAAACTTGTCGATCGAAAGACTTTGGTCACAAAGTAATCACACGGTTCGAGCCTCTGGGGCTCCGGTAGGCACCAGAAAAAAGGAGTCCATGTGACGAACTCGGATTCAATATCCCCGGTATCAAGAACCCAGGAAAGAACAAAAGGGAATCGCGCTAAAGTGTAGCCAAGAAAGCGAGGAAGAGACGGGACCAAGGAGTGGCGAGAGCTTCTCTAACCGAAAGCCCGAGGGAATCCAGAAAAACTGCGTTACCATGAAAGCCCCGGAGTCAGCAAAGGAGTAGCGTAAAGTAAGGGAAAAAACGAAAGAAGTGCATAATCGTTGGCACGGAGGGAAAAAGAGACACGGTGTCTGGGGAGGGAGGGGCAAGAAGCAGACGGACCGCGTGAAACGCATCAGGCTAGGGTTGCAATCGCGTTCCATTTCGCTAACGAGCTGGTCTGCATCCTGGGCTTGGGAGATGCGTCGAAATGCATAAAGCCAGACCACGTGGCCGCGCAATTATCGCGACGATGATTACACCGTGGTCACAATGCGCCAGACTTGGGCTGCGTTCCGAGGAAAAAGTTGTAGGCTAACCCCTTCAACGTTTTTTAATTTCTCTGTGTAATAGCTCGAAGCTGCGCCGCAGTCTTGAACCACCTTTAAAATTCCAGAACTGAAATTTTGGGTCGAGTGGAGGTAACTAGGATCGGTTTTGTAGGCTCTATTCTTCCTTCAACTTCTACACTTTCCGGGTGAGGCACGATTCTCGACTTTTTCTCAATAGAGAATCGCTACGTGCATCTAACACTTCCAGGCTAATTTGACTATTTAAACACTTTTTCTGTTAAACAAAATCTTTCTGAAAAAATTCTTTCACTTTCCAACGCTGTATCGAGGCCTTTGGACAATTGCCACTGGGCGCATCTAACACTTCCAGTCTATTCTATATAATTTGACTATTTAAACACTTTTTCTGTTAAACAAAATCTTTCTGAAAAAATTCTTTCACTTTCCAACGCTGTATCGAGGCCTTTGGACAATTGCCACTGAGTGTATCCAACATTTCCAGTTTATTCTATATAATTTGACTATTTAAACACTTTTTCTGTTAAATAAAATCTTCCTGAAAAAGTTGTTTCACTTTTCCACGTTAGATTGGGAACACCATCCTGCTCACCGTGACATGGACAAAACCGATCCTTGGGTTCCCTCGAATTTCCTGGACGACTCGAAGGAGCCGCCCACGGAAACTTGGCGGGTAAAACGTTCCATTGTCTGCGGTTTCCCCAGTGCCTAACAAAACAATCCGGAGACAAAGGATCGGAGACACCGATCGTCTCCCGCGAGAGGCTAACGAGGTACATAAAAATCGTGTGTCGAGTACCCAAGATTTTTCCGCAGAATGAGCACATTAGCCGGCTAAACATTACCGGGAATTACGCTAATGAATATCTAACCTCCACCTCCTCCCCTTCCCTCCCCCGAACGTTAAAGGGAATTATGCTAACGAAGGCGGAGAAAGTCCGCGCGTCTTCTTGCATTATCCGAGAAATACTCAAGAGAGACTCAATTTGAGAGGAAGCGGGGAGGACCAGGGGGAGGGGAATGAAGAGATATTCCAGCAAGGGTCGAATAAAAAGTGCAGCTTCCCAGAACGTGATCCTGGCTCTTATCTTTAACTTTTTGTTCCACCTCTTTGGTTTAACACTCCTTTCCGACGAATACAGAATACGTCTAGTTAAATTTTTATTCTTCCCTCCACTCTCGTCGGGAGACGAGCTCGGCTATCCTCGCCGGTTTATTTTGCGATAATTTTTTCATTCTAGACCTTCCGTTTTTGTTTTTTTTTTTTTCTTCGTCTTCTTTTATTCATCCGTTCCGCCGTCTGTGAAACGCTGCGATACGGAACACGAAACGACTCGATTTTGATCTAGCCGGGGAAATTATGCGAATGAACGCGCTCGCTTCGACATCCACTGCTGCAGCATTTACGCGAACCCTCGTGCTACATTCGAAATCGGTGCCCTTTATAGTGGCTAAAGAAAAAATAGAAATTTCAGGTAGAATTACATGAATAACCTTCGAATGACGTTGCAATCTATCGCTTTGATACAAGGTTTGACGTCAGATATTGTCAAAGTACAGTAAAGTCTTCTTAGATGCACAAGCTCGTGACTGCGTTTGTGCATTTAAGGAGACTTTACTGTACTTTGTACAAGTAAAAGTACAAATACTTTGTACAAATTTTACAAAAATTTAGTCACGAGCTTGTGTACAAAGTACGGTAAAGTCTCCTTAAATGCACAAATTCAGTCACGAGCGTGTGCATTTAAGGAGACTTTACTGTATAACGCACTTCACCAATCTCGGAGCAAATATAAATTCTAGTTAAAATTGACCGCAAGTGACCTTGAAATCTATACTAAATCTACTTCTAATTGCAGGTAATCGAGGTTATCCACCGATGAAAACGCGACCGTGCGCTAAGAATCGCGAGGACAAAGGAAATGCAAATAGCGAAAATGTTCATTAACTCTACCGTTACAAAGCGAACACGAAACTTCGCTAAACCGAAGTCTTTGCCTTTGTCTACGCCCTTTGGAGACCCGTGTAGTTCTTTTGAAGTACACAGCAACCCTGCACGGAATTACCTGGCCGCCCGCCACGAGAAACAAATAAACGCCGAGGTGAATTAAATACGTCAGGCGAACGGGTCATTTATAACCTAAAGAGAAACTAGAAACTGCACCGCTTTACCTCCGCAACGACATCGAACACATCCACAGAGCAACCAATTGCTACCAATAACGACTGCAAACGTATCCTCGGATCTTAGAGAAGCCCTGAGTTATTAAACATTTCCTCGTACACAGCCTAGATTAATTTTTAGATCCGCCTTGCGCCCCCAACAACGTCAAACATCCTTGAAGAAACCAATCCGTCCCCCTAAATTCAAGAGGGCTAGGATCCCAGCCGCAACGGATCATAGAATTAATTCGATTCCCCCTCGCCTTCGTTGTACCGTCGAAGCAGAAAGAAAATGGGGACAAAGGGTCCTTGGGTAAAAAGGACTAGGAGGATAGGGTTGAGAAGGGCGAGGGTCCCCTCGCGAAGAAACATCAACCCGTTGGACTCCAGAGGGCGTAGGGACCAGCTTCTCCGCATGCTAAGCGACGAATTAGGCAAATATTTCCCCGCGTCGCTTGCGGACACGCGTAAAAAAAAAAAAAAAAAAAAAAGAAAAGAATCCATTTGCCTTTCGTTGGGGTGGATCGACGACCCTCGGCGACAAAAGAGCGCGTTTCGGCCCTCGAGCCCCTAGGTCACCCCTTCGATAGCGAAACCCCTTTCCTCGGCGTTCGTCTTTTTGACACTTAATTACACGTAGCCGGCGTTACTTATCCATCCGTCGTCGACTCGGATTCACGCTATAAATCGCGGTTTTCTTCGCGCGGAGGCTGACTCGGAGGTAGGCGCGAGGTTAGCCGGGTTCTAGGCTAGGAGTAAATCTCTCCAACGTGACGCGACGCGGAAATATTCCTCGAATATCAGGAATTTCACGGCTTCTTAGAAACGCGGCCGTAATAGAATCTTTTGATAAAAATTCAATCTCGGCGGTGACGAGAGCCGCGTCGACGCGACGCCATTTTCTCGCAGGGATGAGTCGCGTCATGGCGGACGACGACTTTTTGGCGGGAGAGTTGGTAATATGGTTCCCGGGATAATACTTCGTAGATACGTGCGCGAGAGAAGCGGAGAAAATTTTGAAACTAAAATTCTAAAATTTAGCCTGGTATAAGGAATGTCAAAAGCGACGATACTATTATTATTGACGTAATAATAATTAATGCGTGTCCTCGAGCGGGTTTACGTATCTCCCAACTCTGTACCAATGCATTTTCTTTTTATCCATCTTTTTACCATCCAACCTCCTTCGCGTTTTCTAGATCCTTCAATATTTTCCTCCCTCTTTCGTTTACTGGTTTCTTCTTAACATGTAACTTCTCTTCATGTAACAATAATTTTCTCCAAAAAAGTACAATCCCGACATTTATTTTCACCCAACCGCGGCTTAATAATAAATCTCTCGAGGCTTACTGTTTGCCAATATTTATAGTGAAAATACCCAGATAAAATATTCAGCGGCAAGCCAGAGGGAAGTAGATTGTTTTTTTTTTTACGCCGTTGAATTATTAATGGCGAGCGTACGTACGCGTTTTCAATCAGTTTTAATCCGCGGAATGAAAGGAAATCAATAATGATAATTCACGAAGGAATTAAACGCCGCGAGTGAATTATTTTTGAATACGCTTTCCAGTCAATGGAACGAATTACACAAAATGCGGTATAATTTCTATAAACCTGGATGATTTATTCGATTCGTTGGCAGCGACGTCCGACGGCTGAACTAAAAATTTGTCCGTATTAGCATAAAAGCGTCGGAGTCATTGCCGATCGAATCACGTATTCGAACGGACATTCTGTCGATAGGAAGTCGAAACGCGTAGGCGTGTCTCGACTGGCGTGGATAATATTTAAAGAAATATCGTAAATTGATGATATCATTTATCTTTTGGTACAGAATTACTTTGTATATTAACCCTTTGCACTCTGGAAGTGACTCCCAGTCGAACGTGGAAGTTACGGGTTTGATGGGCGATATTCGTCAGAAGTTCCACGTGTTGTTCGTAATAAGATAGATGTTCTTGTTTATGACCAGAACATGGAAGTGTTACGGGTTTGATGGGCAATGTTCGTCAGAAGTGACTCTCAGTCACCGCCAGGTGTTCTTTAGGTTTAATTTCTTTGGAACTCGAGGTGCCAATAAAATGATTGTCGTTGAGGCGAAGGTGAGCTGATTCTCAAATCTCAAATTAGAGATCTAATTTTCGAAGCCAATACAATCTTAGCATCCGTGGCAATAGAATGCTAAGAAAGCATCTCGAGTTGCTGGTAGATACCGGAAAACAATTAACCTCGAGCGCAAAGTGTTAATCGAAGGAAGAAAGAATTCAGGAAGAAAGAATTCAGGAAGAAAGAATTCAGGAAGGAAGAACGCCGAATTATCGCGCGAATTCGAAGGTTCCTCGATGCACGACAGTTTGATCGTCGCATGGATGTCGAAAGCAAGGATAAGACCGACCGTAGTTCGGAATGAATCCGAAATGACTCGGGCCGCGCGCGTCTTTTCAGCCCGGAGACGAAGGACTGCTCCAGAAGGATCCTCGAGGACCACCCGCGAACGTCCGTCAAAGAACGAACGGAATAAATGAATATGAAAAGGCACGCGGTAGAGGAAGGCGAGCAGCGCGAGAGAAGTGCCGGACAAATTGGCAGTCGCCGAACAAAAATAGAGGAACGGAGGTGGGGACGCGATGAAAGGAAGTCCTTCCGTCGGGATAAAAGGGATCCCGAGGATTCCATTCTTTTTGTCACTCGATGAAGTTAATCAATTCCCGAGTTCCTTTCTCGAGTACGTACGACATTCGTTCGACGACCCGCGCACGCACTTAATACCGACGGAATCGCGAATAACAGGAAGAAAGTCGAACGAGACGAAAGTTTCCTTCGCGGAGAGTTTAATGAGATTCGTGGACAATTTAATTGAAAGTAATACAGCCGATGCAAATAAAGGAGGAACAGGAGATCCCACCTTTTCTTCGGGAGAGGTGAAACGGATTGAAAGGACTTGGGTGATTCATGTTTCCCGTTAATTAAAGTACATAATAACTGAAAGGGGAGAACAAAGGGATGGGGGGGGGGGGCATGTTTGCGGAAGAAGAAAGAACGTTCGGAGGTTTTGTTGGCTCGATGAACGAGGAAGAAGCGGTTACGGTACAATGGAAAGAAGGACATTTACGTATCTGGAAGAATTAGGACCTCCTTCGCGTGGGTTTATTCCTTTCAGCTCGTCTATTTTTTTGTTTCTGTAGCGAGCACTCTAGTCTCACCAATTTTCGATCAATCGACTTGAATCTCATTTGACGTAATCACTGGCTCATCGAATGTAGCGCGAGGCTACGCACTTTACATAAATAAACCAAATCAAACGAAACCTCCGCAGAGTCGCCACCTATCGCCACCTGTCGCCACGTGTCCTGGCGACTTTGCTTACGCAATTATCCCCGCGTAATTGCGCTTCGTTAGCGGGACCGTCGATAACGAATCGAAGGCTCGTCACTCGATTCGAACAAGCCTCTCGTGTTTTCCGTCCGCGTTCGCTCTTTTTCTGGCCGACCTCAGTCGTCGACCAACCCTCGCCTATCAAGGCCAAACTCGAAACAATGCGGCCAGGTCGAAGTCGGTCGGTGCTTTTTATTGCCCCGAGCAGAGCGTGTCGAAGACGCGCGGGCCACGAATCGGCCGTGTGGCGTAGGCAACTTCAATTCGAGACCCTCGATGGCTTATTAAGGCCAAGCGTCATCGGGGACAACGACTTCCTTCTGGACCGCCCCGACGGATTCGGTAATTTTCTTGGCGCGCTCCTCTGAATTTTTCATCCCCCTCCCAAGAAACTTCCACCGATCCACCGCTCCCGGCCGCCATTGTTCTTCTGGCGTTTCATGGCAGCTCCACGAATCGAGAAATTCGATTCCGGAGTCTCTCGCTCGTCGGAGAATCGAAAGGGAGAAACAGGGCCGATCGCGCTGCGATGAAATTCAGATCCTGGACGTTCTCGTGGAATAGCGGGCGGCGGGGACGCGAGGGGAGGGTTGACGATAATTGGACGTTATTGTTTTCGTTAGATGCAGCCCTGTTGGCCATATTTCCGAGTTTCGTGGCAATGCTGTCCTACCGTCGGCGATGGATCTGGTCGCGATATTAATTTCCAACGACAGTTGTAGCTAATATTTGCCGAAATCAAGTAGGATATATTTTAAGTCATACTTTAGAGCGCACTTCGACGAAATTTCATTCGAATCGAATGGAGTTGTAGAGCAGTCGCAAATAATCGCGAAAATAAAAGATAAAATGGAAGAGGTGTTCTTTCGGATATCGATACGTCGTTAAATGTCACAGTAAATCGAATGAAAAAATTCTTGTACCCACGCCATAAATACATCAATAAGTAAACAAAATTTCGGTTCGATACCTCCAGTAGTTTTCCCGCGAAATAATCCAAAAGATCGCCCTTGTTCCTCGACCACCCTTAATTCGCTGTGACGCATGCCCGTCCGGTTGGTCATTGTCCCGCTTGAAACCGGGCATAAAAGGTTCCGCGAGCGGTTTGCAGACACTGTGTGCATCCCCCTTCGTCGCGTGTTTCTTGTTTTGGAAAAGCAATATACCGGGCACGACGTGCTCGGGCGTAAACGCGCGCACGTTCGAGCGAATTAAAGCCTCTTTTTTTTTTTTTCTGGCTCAACGAGTCCCGAGCGTAAAAAGGTTCCAACTGTTCGTTCGGTTTGCTCGATTGAACGGGCCATTTAACGCTCAATCAGACAGTCATGGTTCCGTTGCCATCCATACCCCCCCCCTCCCCCTCCCCTCTCCCCCCTCCCTCCTACCGGCGGGTGAATTCTTACGGATTATCTCGCGCGGAAGGTTGTACAATTGTATTCCCCGGTTTCCTGGTGCCTTTTGCTGCGTTTATTCTCCGCACTCTCTGTTTCGATTTCCTTTTATTTTTTTTATTATTATTCACGCGATCGACTCGAACGTAAAACGGTATCGAAAGCTGGGTACGAGGTTTGATAATGCGTATAAATAAAATAACATTTGGTTGCGATATCCAGCGGAGTCGATGGGAATTAAAATATGCATTCGACTGAGATTCATGGTAATCCAGGGGTCGGTGTTTCGTTCGATATATATATATATTTGTTTTTTTATTTACGTTTGAATGCGAAGTTGGAAGATTCGACAATCATTGGTACGTTTGAATGGCGTTCGTTTGGTCTTTATCGGATCATAGAACGTCGGATCGATTAGGTCCTGGTTGAAGTCAGCGAGGAGAATTGAAACGATTATTTGGGTACAAAGTGTGACGATGTAATTCGTTACGGATTCAATTATTAATTACTAAATATCGAACCGTGAATTATTCGCTTGAATGGGATTACTAAACGATTGCCAATATTGATGAGCGTCGAATGGTACTAATATTATCGGAAATGGTAATTAATTCTGGTAAATTCATGTTTATCGTTTGTACTCGAACGATCTGCAGAGACAACTGTTATCGAGTTTCATTGTGTTTTCATTTAAATCATTTGTGTTACGCTCGTGTTAGTATATTTTTCTTGAGAATTATTTGGGTGACATCGGCGCCAGTAGAATTGGCGCCAGTAGAATTGGCGCCAGTAGAATTGGCGCCAGTAATTACTACACGCAGAGATTCGGTACAATACACCGCCGTAGCTCCACTGCACAAGAAATTCGAGTCACCTCGACTCAACATGTCGAGGACTACTAAAGAAACAATTCTCTACCAATGCTCCACGTATCGATGATTCGCAGTCCCGATTCGACCATCGCTAACCGAACCGAAGTCACGGGTCACTAAGAAATCGTATTCGCAACGGTGCTCGCCAGACCGTGGTTCCCAAGAACGCTTCCCAGACGAAAACAATTCGAAGCTATAATTAGCGTCATTAGCGGGGAACCGTTCCTCGTTAAACCGAGGGGTTGCGTATCGCGGAGGGTAAAGGGGAGCAACGTCGGGGGATAAAAGAGGAATCGGACTCTCGAAATCTGCACAATAATTCCGGCCATTCCGGATACGGTCGTCCGACGGCCGAGCTCCGACTAAATCCTTTTCCGATTCTAGACGCTGCTTATCCGCGGCGCGTTCGTTCGGAGTTCGAGCGTGAAAGGGGCG